TCTCCAGCTCGAGGCCGCACAGCACTACCCAGGGGCCAGGCAGGGTGTCCCCAAACCCTGCACCGCGCTCCAAGCGGGGGCTGAGCACGGGGCCCCTCCCACGCCCAGGCCAGAGTTGGGTTACAAGCCCTGAGGGTCTCCTAATGAGTTCCACATGCAGCGATGCTCCAAGCTCAGAGAGGAAACGGGAAGGGGCTGGGGAGGGGAGAGGGGCCTGAGTGGGGATTGGAAACACGTGTTCTGGAGGAAGCCGGGGAGAAGGAAGAGGGGGAAAGGGCAGAAGAGGCAAGAGCTGGGGGAGACCTTATCCCTGCAAGTCCTGGCGCTGGCGCCCCCCCACCGCGTCCCTGCAAGGTTGACTCCAGGCTCCCAGACCCCTGCAGGAGCCCCCAGGCCAGCTGCGGGGTGGGGGCAGTGGAGGGAGAGACCCATTAGAAGGCCCAGCCTTCTTCAGACAGAAAAGCCCGGAGTCCCTGGCCCCGCTTGGCTGGGGTTCTGCACCATGAGGGGCAGGATGGAGCCAGGCGGCTGGGAGGGGCCACAGCCTCAGGAAGCCCCCCCATAGCCGGTCAGCCAGCAGAACAGGCTCATTCAGATCCAGCCCCGCGGCCCCCGCCCCACCAGAGCCCTGGGCATGGCGAGGCCGCTCCCGGCCAGCCCCACCTCCCACCTTTGCCCCCATCGGCTAGCAGGTGGGTGGGGAGGCCTGGCGTGGGGTAGCCCCGGCCGCCCCCCCCATCCGACGGGGGCCGTGCAGGGGCGCCCGGAAGCCTCGTGAGGAGAAGGCTGTGGGGAGCCATGCTCACACGTGGGGCAGGGGTGCTCAGCAAGAGGCCTGTGGCGGCGGCGCCCGCGGGCCTCACAGGTGCCGTGGGTCCCCCTCTGGGGCACTCCTTGAGGCCCCAGGTTTCTAGCGGCCATGGGGTGCAGGAGGAAAGGCAGAGCCTGGAGTGAGCCCTGTGGCCTGCAGGGCCCTGAGGCTGGGGGCCCGCTCTCTAGCCCCTGCCTCCAGCCACGTCCCGGGCCTGCCTCTGAGCCCGGCAGGGCCGCAGCCTGCTCCTAGGCCCTTGTGCTTGTCTGATCGAATCTTCCCAGCAGCCCTACGAGGCTGCTCCTGCTCATGTTCTGAGCAGAAAGCTGAGGCACGAGTGGGTGAAGTCAGGGCATTCCTGGCAGCAGGCATGGCTGGTGCAAAGGCCCTGGGGCTGTAACTTGCCTGGTGTGTCCAAGGAGCAGTGAAGTGGCTGGTGTGGCTGGAGGGGCGTGAGGGGCAAGGGGCGGGTGGCAGGAAATGGGGGTGAGGACAGGCAGGATCCAGGAGGAGAGCGCCACCGCTGTGGCCTGTCCTGGGAGGAGGCTGGGGAACCGCTGGGAGGCACTGAGCAGCAATGGTGTGAGCTGTCCTCCAAGTTTTCTTTTATTATTTGTTTTAATCCTACAGACTCAAGCTGCAATGGAGAACAGACGGGGCAGGCCAAGGGCTGAGCGGGGGCTTCGGGGGCAGGCCTGGGCTTCTGGGGGACATTGGAAGGGCCCGCACCTGCCCTGCCCCAGCCTGAGGCTCCCTTCCCTCACCAGAGGAGCCCACAGGCCTGAGGGTCTCCAAACCAGAGGCATTTGTCTCCAACAGGAGACCTCAGGACACCTTGAAGGGCACAGTGTCCACGTGGGGCCTTACAAATGACTCTGCTCCGGAGCACACCCCAATTCCCGGGGAACCGGACCCACCCCAGGGCCAGGGCAACCGCGGGAGTTGAGCTCAGCCTCACAGTTCCAGCCACAGGCCCGCGACAGGAAGTTAGCGCCTCGTTCCCAGCGAGCAGCACGTGAGCCGCGGCTGGAGGGCCAGCGACACTGTGCCTGCCCTGGGTTCAGAGGCTCCTGTGGGGCCGGCCCAGGAGCAGCTGTCGTGGCAGGAAGACCCTGGGAGCCGAGCTGGCCGGGGCCGGGGGACGCGCTGCCTTGGGGAGCAGGTCAGCGCTCCGGTCCTGACCCTGGGCGCCAGGGCCGGTCCTCGGGGAGCTCTGGCCAGTGTCCGAGTTTGAGGGACTAAGAGCAGAGGTGGGATGGGACACCGCAGCAGCTTCTGGGAAGGCTGGACGTTCTGAAGAGGTCTGCCCGGTCAAGGCGAGGCCCTGGGCGGAGCCCAGCTGCGAAGGACAGAGGGCTGGGGGCGGCGTCCGAGCAAGTGCCTGTAGGGCGCGTGTGCCCTTGCCCAGGCCTGAGACCGGGACCACGGGGGCGAGGCCGACGCAGGCCCAGGTGCTCAGCGACGTCTGCCGCGGTTCCCAGCCTAGTGCAGGTGCCCGACTGGGGAAGGACGGCCCCGCCCAGCTGCCCGCAGTCAGGGCTCTACCCGCCAGGCTCCCACAGACAGTGCCGGAGCCCCCCCTCAGGGACCAGACTTGCGCCTAAGAGAAGCGTAGGGCTGAGAAAGGGAAGCCTCGGGACACGAGGTCCTGCCCTGCCTAGGCTCCCGGTCCCGGTGCTCAGGTGTCTCAGGGGTGGGCCCGGGGATCCTGCCACAGGACGCACGTGCGGGCCGACGGCCGGAGCGGGCCTCGCTCTTCACAGTTCTCAGGAGCTTCCAGAAGGTGGGCTGCCTGGGGAGGGGCCGGCACAGCTAGCTTCCTGGTGGCTTGGCCTGCTTGCCTCATCGCGAGCATGGCCGCGAGGGCCCCATGTCCCAGGCCTTCATGGGTGGGGAGGCAGGGGAAGCCCCGAGGGGAGGCTTCCCTGGAGCGGCCATGGCGTGAGCCTGGGCTGCCCGATTGGTCAGCTGTGGCGAGCCCACCAGGCAGCGGGACAAGGCCCTGTGCCGGGTCCTTGGTGCTCACAGGGAGTGGAATGATGCCGCCCACCCACCCCTGCTGCCTTGGCAGTGGCTCCCTCAGCAAGGACCCCGGGGCGGGGGGGCGTTTCCATCCCATTAAATGGTCACACATCAATTAGGGCAGGAGTCATCAGGGGGCCCCCTTGAGCAAACCACTTAGGAAGATGAGGTTAATGACAGGGAGCTGGGACGACAGGGCTGGAGGGACTCACTGTGCCCTCGCCGGCTCAGCGAGCTGCATTCCGGGGTTCCAGGCAGCCAGAGCCCCCACCCCAAGCCTGTGGCGGCCTTGGTGGGGAAGAAGAGGGCCGGGCGCTTGCTCCTCCAGGTGTGGGGGGCTGCCTGCCGGCTCAGTCCCTCCTCACCATGGGATGGCCAGTGCAGGGACCACGGGATTGAGCAGCCGTAACTGGCCACCTGGCATTTCATAGCTGAAGGGGCCTTGGACCACCAGCCCCTACCCCCACTGGGCCGACACATGGGCAGAGTCCCCGGAAAGGGGCCCACAGGACAAGGAGGACGGGATCGGGGGGTGGTCCCCAGCAGACAGTTCACATAGGATAACTGGTGGGGCTTCCAGGCACTACCACCACCGCCCCACCCCTTCCCAAACCCCCGAGACCCTCAAACCCACACCAGCAGCGTCTTTGCAGAGGAGCTCTCCCTGGGCTGGCTGTTCAAACCCCCGCGGCCCCAGCTCCTGGGCGGGTGCTCCAGCTCCAGGTCCAAAGCCACAACAGGACAGCCAGCATGGGAGGGGACAAGAAGGCTGGCCTCTCGGGCTGCATCCCTCGAGCAAGCTTAGGGCTGCCCATTCTCCCTAAAAGCTTCCAGGCACGGGGGCCCTTGACCTGCGGAGACAGCCGAAGGCCTCACCTGCCAATTCAGAGGCCTCCCAGCAGACCTCCCCGCCGGCAGGGCCACGGTGAGGGCGGCAGCGGGACCACCTGAGCCGGCAGCCCCGCCCCCACGCGCAGCTCACAAGGAGCAGGTCACCCGCAGCAGGCCCCGCTGTCCTAGCAGGACGGGGGCAGTGGGGGCGCAGCACCGGGCTTGTCATCCCCTGGAGGGGACTTAGCCCCACCAGTCACCCCGAGAACCCGAGGCCCAGAGAGGCCATGTCAGCATGTGGAGGTCACGCAGAGACAAAGGCAGCGCCTGCGGCCTGACCTGGCCTGCGGCTCTCCCCCCACCCCGCAGGGGAGGCAGCACCCCGTTCTCGTCCCATCGTTCGGCTCGGCCCCCCGGGGGGCGGCAGAGGCTGGGGGCCTTGTTAGCCGGGCGGCGCTGACAGCGCCCTGGAAGCCCTGATGGGCCCCCGGCCCGGGGCAGGGGCCTCGGAGAGCGAAACCCACCAGGCTGGCTGGGCCCCCGGCCCAAGGCCGAAGGCTCGGGCGCCGCACACGTGGAGACCACTCGCCCAGCTTCCCCTCACGGGGCAGCGGGGGGAGGATGCAGGGGCTCGGCTGCCCTTGCCCCCTGCCCCGGAGGCAGAGGCGGCAGAGGGACCTGGCAGGGGCCTCCCAAGGCCAGTTTCCCTCTTTGCCGCGGGGGCCCTGGGGGCAGGGGCTGATGAGGCCTCACTCACAAGCCAGCTCTGAGCGCCTTCATGAAGCCCTTTTAATGGTGAGGTTCGTGTGTCCCTGCACCCAGAGGACGCTGCCAGGTGCCGGCGGATGCCGCGCCGGTGCGCTCGCTTCCAGACAAGCCGGAGTCTCACAGCCCCGTGGGGGCCTCCGCCAGGGCCACAGGAAAGTCTCGGCCGCCCTTCCAGGAGCGGCCCTCGTCTCAGCGGGGCGGCGAGCGGAGTAAGGTGGCTCGGGGCTACCTCCCTGGGTAGGGACACCCAGACTTTTCCTGACGGCCCGGCGGCCAGGGCTCCTTAGGGCTCCGAGGTGGCAAACATTTTCAAGTGGCCCCTTCACAGGAAACCAGACGTGGTCCATGTGCGTGGGTGGGCCGCGCCAGTGGTCTTCCATGCCAGGCGGAGCACCTCCAGGGGTGTGCGGACCGCAGGGCGGGCAGGAGGGCCCAGCCCCCGGGCTCCGCGGGCACGCCACTCCCGCAGGGCTGAATCCCCTTGTTTATTTACCCGAGTCCCACAGTCCCGCCCTCCGCCTGCCCCCCCACCCCCAAATCGACCGAGCTCCTGATTCCTGTCCCCCGATCACGGTGTCGTCCTCTGCATGATTAGCTGCTGGGTCTCCAGGCACTGCTTCAGCTTGTCCTCCGTCAGCGTCAGCCGCTGCTCCAGGATGGAGACTGTCTGCAAGCGACAGGCGTACCGGCTCAGATGGCACAGGGCCGCCAGCCGCCCCGGGGTCCCGCCTGCCCGCCGCGCTGCCCCCTGTCTGGGGCCCGCTGCCGGCTCCCCCCGCCCAGGGGCCTGCCTGGCGCCCAGACCTCCGGTGGCTGCTGGGACCACTCCTGCCTTCACGCAGCCCTTCCAGGGTGGGAGGTGGTTCTTGGGTGTTTGTGGGAGGGGGGAGACAGAGTGAGGGAAAGGCGGCGGCAGGTCCCACGGCCCTCGGCCATTCCCGAGACAGGGAGGTCGGGAATCCGTGGCCCTGGCGGTCTGGCGTTTGGACTGGAGGTCTGGAGCAGAACCACCCCCTCCCTGCAGCCGGGCTGCCCATAAACAACCAGACACCACCAACCACCTCCATTCCGAAGGTGGGGACACCGCGCCCACAGGTGAAGGTGCCCCATCTGGTCCTCAGGGCCCGCAGCACAGGCCCTTCGCCTCCGCACTGACTGGGCGCTCGCTGTGTCCCCGGAGCCCAGGAGGCGTCTGCCTTTTCCAGCCCGGTGAGGACTGCTGCAGCGAAGTGCCGCCTGGGCCCAGGCCCTAGCTCCCCATTTTCAAGCCTACTTCCCTCTCAGGAATGGGAAGGGTGTCGCTGGGCTCACAGCTGCCCGGATGGTGAGGTGGCTGAGCACGGGGCCCCGCTGCTCAGCTCGACTCCAGCTGGCCGCTGTGGCAATCCCTGTCATGAGGGAGGCTTCTGGGGGCTGCGTCCTTGCCCCCTGGCCTCCCCCGCACAACCAGCATGGCTGGCCTGCCAAGGGCCCACGCTGCTGGGGCTGCACGTCCTTCGCAGGCCAGGCCTGTCTTGCAGATGTGGCTCCTGGACCAGGCTGCAAGGACCTGTGCCCTCCCCTGGCTGTGGACCACGCGGGCAGAGGTGCGGTGGTGCCGGTGCCTGTGTGCTGCCCAGAGGGGCTGGCCCACGGCCCTCGGCCCTCTCCCCACGGCCGCCTCGCCGGTCACGCCCACCGCGCCCCCGCTCAGCCCGACACTCGCTGGCACAGCAGCTGGGCTCACCACTCACTGCCCTCGCCAAGGGCTGGCCTAGCGCCTATGCGTGCCAGGCCCACACGGGGCCCTGGGCGAGTCCACTGGGGACCGGCCTCAGAAATGGGTCAGGTAAGAAACAAAGCTTCCTGTTAATCCTCCCTATTTGCCTGTGGGCTTGCCCCGGAGGTTTCGCCGCCGCCCCTGAGGGCTCCCTGGAGGCTCTGGGCCTCGGTCCAGTGGACAGGGACCTTCCCTCTCATGCGCTGGGTGAAGCACTGAGGTCCAAGGGCACGAGTCCCCCCTGGGGCTGCTAGGACCGTGTCCCGCACGCAGCCAGCTACTCCTGGGTGCTCCTGGAGGTGCGGGCCTGAGGAGTTGTTGCCCGTGGAACAGGAAGTGCCCCCAAGGGGCAGAGCTGGGCTGAGATGGTCCCACTCCCGCCGTGCTGGCCGCTGGCCACGGGCCCAGGAGGGGTCTGCATCTCGTAAAAGCAACAGCGGAAACAGCCCCGGGCTGGCCCGCAGCAGCATTCCTGGAAGTTTCCACTGGCTGCTGAGACGCTCGCTGCGAGCCAAGCTCCCAAACCCTCCTTCACCCAGACTTTTCCCGACGGCCCGGACGCCAGGTCACGGCGGGGGAGCGGCCTGCTTTCCCTTTCTTGCCCCTCCTAAACTTTTCCCAGGGACCCACTCTCCAAATGCAGAGGCTGTGGGTGCAGGGCCACGTCAGCAGCGGGGTGCCACGAATTTCCGGAGGCCCCCACTTAGTTCCATGGGGGCCTGTACTTCAGCGCGGTGGAAATATAGCCATTACATTTGTCAGTATTAAATTTCTTTGAACAGAAAAACATCGCCTACTTTCTATCCAGCCCCCGAATCGAGGATGCCAGCCCAGCTGTGGGCCTTTCTTTGGGAGCTTTAAGGGGTGCTTCATGGCACGCTGTAGACAAACCGGTTTAAAAGAAGCCCCGCACCCCTCATCCCTGCCGCCCTCAGGCTTCCCCCCGCCCCACCAGGCTTCTAGGTTTGGGCTCCCCCTCTCCACCCGCCTTGGCCCCCAGCCTGCTCTGCCAAGATGCTGGGTGGCAGCCACCACCCAGGGATCCCTCCCGCCAGGCACCCACCCCCAAGCTGATAGGATGGGCCATTTCTGTACATTAACGCTGCATTCTCTGCTTCACAATTGTTCTTTTTTTAAAAATCCCTACTCAAGGACATCTTTCCATTGCTTTTTAGAGAGAGAGGATGGGAAGGAGGAGAGGGAGGGAGGGGGAGAGAGAGAGAGAGAGAAACATCAGTTTTTCCTACAGGCACCCAGACCAGGGAATTGAACTTACAACCCGTGCATGTGCCCCAACTGGAATCAAACCCATGACCCTTTGGTCTATGGGACGGCGCTCTAACCAAGTGAGCCGCACGGGCCAGGGCCAGAGCTGTCCTTAACAACCCCTCCCCAGTCCCAGCCCTTAGGGGAAACAGCGCTCCCTCAGGACAAAGTGGGTCCTGGAAATCCTGGGCTCTGAGCCTGCAGATCGCTGTGCCTCCTCTCCACCAGGGAGAGGGTGACCCCAGGGCGGGGTGGGCCCAGGGCTGCCGGCGCCCCAGCCACCACCATACCACGCGCTGCCCGGCTGCCGGCAGGGAGGAAGAGCGCCCGGGAGAGTGCGGGCTGTCGGGCCCCGCAGCTACTTCCTGTGGCCTTGCTCGCAGCGGCGCCTTTGCTGGCTGGCTCGGAGCCCAGTGGCCGTGCAGGCAGGCCGGGCAGCCACGCCAGGGTGCCGCCTGACACAGCCCCTCCCAGCGGGCCCCGGCCTCACGCCTCGCCTCCCTGGGGATTCTGGGGCCCCTCTGCACTGCTTCTGCCAGGCCCCTGTCCTGTCCAACAAGCCCATGGCTCAGGCGTTCGCATGGTGTGGAATTCACGTGGCACTCAAGGCCCGTGCTGCCTGTGAGGATGCCCTTCCTGCCCAGACCCCACCCAGCGAAGCTCTGCCCCAGCCCCTCCCCCAGGGGGTTGCCAGGTCCCGGCCCCCGGGCTCAGGAGCCTGCCCTCAGCCCCCAGCGCATCAGGGCTGGGGCGCAGGTGTGGGTCCTTGGGCGATGCTGTCGCAGTGACTCTTGGTCCCCACCTTTGTCACGTATGGTAAAACCACAGGTTCCAGAGCTGTACAGCCTGGGCTCGAATCTGAACTTGACCACTGAGCTGCTGAGTAGACTTGGACCAGCTACCTGACTCGGGCTTCAGATTCCTCACCCGTACGCGGCCCTCCCGTGGAGACGCTGCAACACTGTGTTAATAGCAAACGTTTTTGTGGCACTTGCTCTGTGCCAGGCTGGGCACGGGGTGCCCTGCGGGCAACGCGGCTCCCCCATCCCTTACCCTCATGGGGGCCAGGGCTGAGCCGGGCTCTTGGGGGAGCTCAGGCGCCAGGGGTGCTTGATGAGGCCCCGAACAAGCCTGGGACCAGGCCTGGGAGGGTCGAGCCGCTGGGGCACGTGGTAGTCTGGCTGCTTCCCTGCGAAGGAAGAGCTCCTCCTAATTGTTTCCAGGCTTGTGGTTGCTGTGGGCCCCCCCAGGCAGACTCCCCAGGGGCGCTGGGGTGCCCCAGTCCCCTGACCCCCAACACAGGAGCCAGGTTACTGGGGGACAGAGGGCCCCAGCTGCCCTGGGTCTCGAGGAGTGGGCACAGTCCCCAGCCAGGTCACTGGGGCACTAGGGTCAGGACGCAGGCCACCTCCTGGGGCCGGCCACCGGCTCTGCGCCTGTCTCAGCGGTGCCACACAGAACGCTGAGCTAGCCTTCCGTTTCATTGCAAAGATGGAAAAATGTGGAATTAATCTCCCCCGTAGCACGGTTGGACTTCACTCAGATTCTGAAGATCTGAAACAGATGCAATAAAAGGGGCTCTCTCTGCTGTGGGGTCTGGTGAGCTATCAGAACAAAGTGGGGCTGCAGGGCCCAGCGCCGGCCCAAGGGCTCGGCCTCGTCTCCCGCCTGCTCCCACTTGGCCTCTCATGGGCGTGGGAGGTGGGGGGTGGCGTGTCTGTGTGCGTGTGTGCGCGCGAGTGCTCACACATGCTCACGCGCACAGTGCCAGCCCCACCCTTCCCACGCCAAGGCCCTGCCTCGGCCCCAGCCCGTGTCCAGACCGGCAGCTCGAGCCCCGGGCAAGACCAGCCCTTGGAGCAGCCTCCCGACACTGCCCGGGGGCCTGCGCCCGCCGTGGGGACAGGGTCTGTCTCTTCCTGCTCACACTGGCCTCCTGCTTCCAGGCACAGCCGCTGGCCTGGGGGAGGGGCGCACTGGGCGTTGAGTGGACACGTGCCCTGAGGCCTGGGGATGCGGGCAGCCGGCTCCTAAAGGCAGCCCTCGTTTGGAATGCTCCCCAGTCCGGGCCCTGGATCTGGAGGGCTTGGGGGGATGGCGGGGAGGGAGGCGAGGGTGGGCAGGCCAGACGGGCCCTGCCAGCTGGCCTGGGGAGGGGGAACCTCCTGGCCTCAGCGGGAATGTGGGGTGCACCCTCCGCACCTTTCACCCTGATCTGGTGAGACAAAGCTCCACAGTCTCAACTTCCAAGGGGAAGGAGCGTAGGTTCCCTCGTGTGCGGACGTCTAACATGCTAACCTGCCCAGGGTCACACACAGCTGAAGCACAACAAATCCAGTGTCTTAAAGCAGTTCCTCCCAGTCTCTCCGGTCTCAGCGACTGTCTTTCTAACAAGCCCCCCTCGCCCCGCAGCCTGCTGCTAACACACAAGCGCTCTTGTCCCTGGAGCCCACAGGTCCGCGTTCCTGTTTCACATTATCTCAGGGAGCTAGGGTTTCTCTGCCAGTTCTGCGCTCCCGCCCCCGCCCTCACTGAGGACCCACTCGCTGCGGGAAGTGCATGAAGCACGGTTTCCTATTCCTGGATTAGCCATGGGATCAAGGAATCCTGGCTAATTTACTTTCCTCGTGGCTTTATAGCAACTCCTTTTAAATAAACATAGGCTTTCCACATTGCTCCCAAAGGAGAAGCAATAAAAAGTGGGTTCACTCACCGCCACCCAGAACACCGGATGCTCCTGGGACCTGTGGGGCGCTAACCCCCACCCCACCGACACCGGCCTGCGCTCCAGCACACCTCGTCGCCAGCCGCAGGCAGGCTGCCAGGGAGGCCGGGGCCCGTCGGGGCGAGGCCCCGGGGTGCCGAGGGCGAGCCACCGCTCAGCCTCAGGCCCTGCCACAGGCTCTGCCGCGCTCCAGCCCCAGGGGGCCGCCTCCGCCTCCTGTCTCTGCAGAGGCTGACTGGCCCGACAGTCCACATGAAGGAATTAATTTACCGAGGCCTGACAAGACACAACTTCGCAAGTCAGAGGGGCAGCTTCCCAGCTCACTGGAGGCCTGGGCGACCTCAGGCTGCAGCCCCATGGGCAGGACCCACTCCGGGATGAAGATGGCCTCCCCCGCCCGGGGCAGCGCCTGCCTCCCGCCGAGGCGGTGTCTGGGCTCACCGGCGCACCAGCCAGGCCCAGCCGGCTTCCCCAAACGGCATGCGCGGAGCAGGCCCGCAGCCGCTGTCCCCGACGCTCCTCCAGCGCGCTTCACTGGGGAGGGCAGCAAGGGGCCCCCGGCCAGCTGGGTCGTGGTCCCCGTCGGAGCCGCGCAGGCCTGTGCGGGGCTGCCTGTCCCAACCACAGTCTCCTGGCGTCCCCTTCGTCCTTCCTCTCACAGCGCGCCTGCTCCCCCCCGGCGCCGGCCTCACAGGAAACCCACCTGATTGTGACCATCCCCGGGCCCCAGAGGCAACCGCAGCCTTCCGGAGCCCATCGGGCCCACGGGCCTTCTGTCCGCAGCGTCTTTGGGGAGGGGGCGCTTTCTGTCACAGCTGCAGACGGACGGTAGGCGGGGCTGCCACCAGCCCTGTGCAGTGACCAACACGAGCTGGCCGGGCCCTGACCTGGTCCCAGGGAGACACAGGCTCCCCCGTGCCCTGCGTGTGCAGAGCCGGGGAGCCTGTGGGTAACCGGCCAGCAGGAGGACGGGGAAGGGCCGAGGCCCGGCCCCTGCCGCCACTGCCGGAGGCAGGCCCCCAGCGTGTGTCCCTAGAGACCAGAGGGTGCCGTGCCCCCGCCGCTCCGGAAGCAGCCTCTGAAGGGGGGAGAATGAGCCTCCTGTCTCCCGATCCGCTGGCAGGGGCGCGGGTGGTCTGAGCTCGGTTTTGACCGGAGGGCAGCCCCTCAAGGTCCATGGAGAGAAGATGGCCAAACCCACTCTGGACGAGGCGGGCCTGGTGGCTGGATGTGCTGATGGGCGGGGGCGGGGGGGCACGCCGGTGACACGCCACAGCTTCCCCACCGGCGCGGCTGGGCCCCCCTGGGAGGACGCCTCGGGGAGAGGGCAGCCCTGCTCCACAAGCCGGAGGCTGTTTCCACAACAGCTGGCCTGCCCCCAAAAGAGACACCACAGACGCCCGGGGGTCAGGCAGGCGTGGCCCACCGTCCCCACCGGCGTGGAAGGGCACAGCTCGCCTGAGGAGCCCATCACACAGGGAACTGCCGGGACCCTGTTGGGGGAGTGAGGTCCGGGTGTCTCAAAGCAGGCCAGCCACTCTCTCCAGCTCCCCAAAGCAAACAGGCAGGACCCTCAGCCATGCTGGCTTGGGCGGCAGTTAAAACAACCTGCCCGCGTGGCTGATGCCAACGCCGGAGGCCTGCAGCGGCAGGTCTGCATGCTCCCCGTGCCGCGCACGTCCCGGCCCCGGAGCCCAGCCGCCCCGGCGCGTCGCCGAGCCCGGACGTGACAGCGCAGCAGTGCTGTGGCCGGCCCGAACCATGGGCACTGGGAAAGCTGGAGCAGGGAGTGGTCTTTTGAATAAGCAGCAAGTCGTGAGACTGGAGTCGAAAATAACTTTGTTGTGGGCTTCTGAGGCAAAACCGCCCGGCCCTCATCGGCCCAGGCCCCACACGGCAGCCTCCCCAGCTCCTGGGTCCGGGTCCTGCCCCTGCCCCCGCCCCCGCCACGGCCGTGGGACAGACACAGACGCATGGGCTGTCCCCGAGCCTCCAGGCTGCAGGCAGAGGAGGAAACCCAGGCGGGCCAAGGTCCACACAGATGGGAGGAGGCAAGGCTGGGCCAGAGCACTCCTGGCCCGGGTTTTCCTCTGGATCCCACGAACTTCTGGGGTCCACCGCCCTTCTCAGGAGGCGAAGAGTGGGGGCGGGCCCAGGGGGGCAGGGCCCGGGGCCACAGCACAGCTGCGCGCTCGCTCCAGGGCGGGAGGGGAGCGGGCTTAGGGCAGTCTCCAAGAGGGAGCAGGCGGGTGGGCGGGTGGCAGCGGGGTTCACACCCATAATACATAGGCTCCACCTGTGGCCTCCGCCCTAGGAGCTCCTGAGACCCCCACGAAGGGTTTTGAGGAACAAATGTCTCCCCAAAGAAAACTTAAATGCCACTGTCAGGAAATACCTTCTCCCCAACTACCACTATTTTAATGCAATTCAAAGAAGAGCTGCCACAAGTATGCCTCTGAAGGGCTTCTATCTTGGCCCGATGCCTGAGTCTGGGTTCAGGGCTCCCATCTAAGGGGCCCCCGACCCCACCCTAACTTTCAACTGGCCCCCTTAGACTTCTGTCCCTTGTCACTTCCTGGGCCTGGGGAGTGGCCCCTTTCTCGCCCCACCATCTGCCGCCCGGCCCGACCACCACAGCCTTGCCTGCGGCTCGCAGGCGCCCCTGGGCCTCGCCTCCCGCAGCTGCGGGGCCTGAGGGCTGCCCACGCCTGCTCCTGCCGGGCCAGCCAGCCACACCGCCTCTTGGAGAGCACGCACTCGCTGGTGCTTCACCAGGCAGGCTGGACGTCCCCATTTTACGAGGGAGGACACTGAGGCTCTGGGTAGACGCCAGCGGCCCCGGGGGGAGTGGGAATCTTGGCCATAAATCCAGGAGGGCAGGGGTGTCCAGGCGCTCTCCAGGGGGGCTCGTGGGGCGGAGCAGCACGGCCAGAAACCCAGGAGGCGCCTCGCTCCCACGGCTGCTGGGACCCAGAGGGCCGAACGCAGCCCGGCTGCTCAGAGTGTGCCGTCAAGCTGGGGTCAGGGTCCCAGGGCTCAGTGGGGGAACCGGGGAAGCCCCAAACCGCAGCCTCGCAGAGGTCAGGAGGGGTCGCGCCGTGCATAGAAGGGACGGGGCAAGGGGCATGCTCGCCGGCCGCCACCTTGGGGGCCGGGCTTACTGGCCATGATCCCTGAGAACTGCGCAAGGACTCCTGAGGGGAGGGTTTGGTTTGCGGATGAACGTCCTGGTGGAGCCACCGGGGCGGACGGCATGTTGCTTGGGTCTGCGAGGGGCTGATGCCGTGAAGGAGGACAGAGGCCCAGAGGCACTGGCCCCCGGAGAGTCTTCACTAGCTCTGTGGGGCCAGCCTCGCCCCAGCTGCCAGCTCACAAGCTTCTACGCGCACCCCGAAAACAGGGACAGGAAGTATTTTTAGTGTTCTCTTCTGGATTCAAGGGCACTATTTTTAACCATCTCCTCAGACTTAGTTTTCAGGTCCATCCCGTGAAGCCCTCGTGCGCTGCACCCCGACATCCCCCGGAGGAGGCTGCGAGGGACACGAGGCGGCACGGCCACTCCCGCCAGGGCCGAGGGGGCGGCTTTAAGTCTCAGCTCGCTGCTCCCCTCCCTCAGCGCGTGCCCACTCTGGGGTCACCTGCCTCCAGACGCGTCTGCATGACGTGTCACGGTCCCCCAGCCCCCAGGGAGACGCAGATCCCGCCCCCACGTCCTTCCTTCAGTGGGTCCATGTACGCGTCCTCGCTGGGGCGCTGGGGCTCGCTCTGAACCACGTGGCAGGAGGGGGCTTTCCTCACTCAGCCCAGACCCAGAGGTGGAGAAAGGACGCTGCGCCCCATGTCCATTGCTGTCACAGACGCAAGGGATCCTGCGTCCCTCCTGCACCCTCACTCTGCCCATGAGCTGGACCGGGAGACGGGGGTCTGCGCCTGAAGCCAAGGACGGAAGGGGCCTGACGACCTTTAAATCTTGCCTTGTCTGCCCCCTGGCCCTCTCTTCCCCGCTGTCTAGAGGTGCCCAGGGCCGCCCTTGGCCTGCGGGCAGCTGTGCCTTGCTTGGCCGGGACAGCCCCCGGCGCCGGGTGAGACGCTCCCGGCGCGCCTGCTGCCGCCACATCTGCTGTGGCTGTGACGCACGCACGCGCCACAGGGCAGCCCACGTCGGTCCTGCTGGGAGGGCCAGCACCTCCCCAGACCCACCTCCACTGTCCCCCACGGACGGGGGGCAGCGCCAGCTGGAGCCCAGGACCTGGCTCTGGGGGCCTGGACTCCCACCCCCACGCGCCCGCCCAGAAGTGAGGATGGACAGGTAGCGTTTCTTTCGAAGCCCTGGGTGGGCAGCCCCTGACAGGACACGGCCCTGGTGATTCTGGGGTCCAGTGGCTTCTCACGGCTCGGACGGCTCTGAGAGCCAGGGTCCCAGGACAGGCAGTGCCGTTTCATGCACCTGGACTGGGACACAGGTCCGCTATCTTGGGGTTCTGAGCACAGACGGTGGGGCCGCGCAGCCTACCTGGGTGAGGACGTCCAGCTGGCCCACGATGTGCTCCAGCGTGCTGGTCAGCGTCTGGGGCACGCTGCTGGGCTCCGGCGGCGGCGGGCTCTGCGCCTCCGCCCGGCTCCTGCCTCCGCCCAGGGGGACGGGGAAGTCCGCTTCTGGCTAGACAACGAGAGGAAAGGGGACCCTCAGTCCTGAGCAAGTGCTTGAGGGGACATTGAGCAGGAGCAGCCCCTCCGGAGGCTAAGCGGGAAACCACCAGCACGCGTGACGGCACAGGCTCCAAACACCAGTGAGGGGGCCGGAGCAGGGCCCCACCCAGGCCGCACGCCCTCTCCCAGGCCTCCCCTCAGAGCAGAGGCCACGCGTGGGGAGGCATCCAAGCGCCTGGCGGGTGGGGTGGGGGAAACAGGGGACCGGAGAGCACCCTCAGCCATGGGCTGGAGGCCCCAGGTTGCTTCCGACGGGGCTCGGGATCTGCCAAAGATCCTTCAATCCCCAAGCACAGAAGCCATCCCTCCAACCCACCACCAAGGACAAGTGACTCCATAAGAGGACTCATTCCAGCCCAACACGTGTCCCCCACGCCGTGCACACAGACGAAGCTTCTCCTGACCTGGGAAGCGCAGGCCTCCCTGAGCCCCCAGGTCCCCACGGACATGGAGGCAGGGGCCCCAGTTTGGTCCGGGGCCCCATGACAGCCCTGGGGGCCGGTCCCCGTGGGAGTGGCGTGCCGGGCGCGGCTCCGGCTGTCAGCCGCCCTGGGCTCAGCCGCCTCCCAATGCCCCACGGCACACCCAGCCTCGCCAGGGCTCCAGGGCTCCCCACCGCCTGCCTTCTCCGGCCACACCCCTGCCTCCAGCCCCGGCTCTCCCTGCTCTGAGCGGCCGGTCCCGCACTCCCGGTCAGAAGCCTCTGCGCTGCCGCGCGCGGGGCCTGGCCACCGCCCCTCAGGACCAGGACGCTGGAGCGAGGCCAAGCACCGTGGGCTCTCCCGCGGGCCGCCGCCCGCCCGCCCGCCCCGGCGCCCTTCTGCCTGCCGCCCCCGCCCGGCCCGCCGCTCGGCCCTCTAGCCCAGGAGAGCCCGGGCTCGAAGCCTGCAAGAATGAAAAAGCTGATTCTAAAATTTATAGGAGCAGGCAAAGGAACTAGAAAAGCCAAAACCATTTTGAAATAAAGAACATTGGAGGACTCGCCTGACACTCAGACTGAGTCTAAGCTACAGTCCAGAGAGTGTGCTTTTGGTGAAAGGACAGACACACGGGTCAACGGGACAAACAGAATTCGGAAACAGAGCCACAGACACGAGCGATTAGTTAGTAATTGGTGAATGATTACAAATTAATTTTTAACAAAGGTATGCAAACAACTTAGGTAAAGAATATTTTCAACAACTGTTGGAACAACAGAATCTCCTTATGAAAAAAAAATGAACTTTGGTACATACTCAAATCTTGTGCCATGTTAAAAAATTACCTCAAGCCCTGGCTGCTGGGGCTCGGTGGACTGAGCCCCGGCCTGCGAACCGGTCGTCGGTTCCCTTCCCAGTCGGCGCACAGGCCGGGTTGCAGGCCAGGTCCCCAGTGGGGGCACATGAGAGGCAACCACACACTGATGTTTCTCTTCCTCTCTTTCTCCTTCCCTTCCTCTCTCTCTAAAAATAAAATAAAAAAACCTTTTTTTAAAAAGTAACTCAAGATGGATCATAGACTAAGTGTAAAACCTAAAACTATAATATTGGTGTACGTTTTTCTTCCAAAATATAGGGGGAAAAAAACCTTTGTGACCTTGGGTTGGGTAAAGATTTCTTCGACATGACACCCAAAGCAGGATTCACAAAAGAGAACGTTTCAAAATGAACTTCATCTACGTTCAAAACGTTTGCTTCTTGAAAAACACTTAAAAAGATGAAAACACAAACCACAAACTGGGAGAAAATATTTGCAAGTCACATACCTGACGAAAGACTTGTATCCAGGATGTACAAACACCTTCAAAACTCAATGAGAAGACAAACCATCTAATTTTTTTTTTTTTAAAGAGGCAAAAGATTTGGACAGATACTTCACCAAAAATAATATAAAGATGGCAAACAAATACAAATAGAACATCTATTCTGTGGCCGGGTAGCTCAGGTGGTTAGAGCATCGTCCTGTAACGCCAGGGTTGCAGGTTCGATCCCTGGTCAAGACACATACAAGAATCACAAGACGAATCCATCAATAAGTGGAACAACAAATCAATGTTTTGTTTTGTTTTTCCTTTCTCTAAATTTTTTTTAAAAGGTGTTATCGCTAGTTCTTGGGAAAATGCAAGTTAAAAATCACAGCGGGATGCCACTGTAACATCTACCAGGACGGTCACAGTTAAACAGACTGACCACGCTCAGTGCTGGCAAGAAGGCGGACACCTGAACTGCCTCACGCTGCCGGGGGGACGCACAGCGGCACCGCCGCTTTGGAAAGCAGTTCGGCAGTTACTCCAAATGTTAAATGTACACACACCACATAGGTCCCAGGCATTCAACTCCCAGGTATTTACCCAAGAAAAATGGGACTATGGGTGCACTGAAAGATACGTACATGGAAGTTAATAGTAGCTTTATTTGTAAATAATCAAAAATTGAAAAAACGCCAAATGTTCGCCAATGAGCAGATAAAGAAATGTGATGGAGTACTGCTCAGCAGTAAGAAGGAATGAACTACTAGTATCTGTAGCGGCACAGGTGAGTCCCAAAACCATTAGGCTGAGAGAAACCAGGCCAGAGAACACATAACCATATGAGTCCATTTGTATCAAACGCTGAAAACGCACACCCGTCTTGTGACCCGTCTTGGGGCTGGAGAAGTCGGGGGGACTGACTACAGAGAGGCGCGAGGGGGCCTTCGGGGGTGACAGACTCATTCTGTACCTTGATCGTGGCAGTGATCCCAGGACTCTGTCTGTCAAAACTCAGAGAATGGTTCAGTGTTTTATGGTCAATGTTGCTATTTATGCGTCACTACGCCTGACTCTGTGTAAAGGCAGTTACAACTGAAATGCCCTGGGAGCCCAGTCTGCTCATCGACATGACAGTGCACTTGGAGGGCCCCTCACTGCCACTCGGCTCTCAGGGTGCAAGTCACCACCTCTCCGCGGGGCATCGCCGACGGGCAAAGCCAAAGGCCACAGATGCCAGGGTGGTCCGTGAGGCCCCCGCTGTCTGGGGTCACTGGTGCCAAGTGCAGAAAGCTGGCGTCGCAGCTCAGTGCTTCCGGTCCCCACAGCCGCAGTCTCCCCGGTCGTCAGCACCTGTGTGTCCCCAGACGGGGCTTCCCACGCAGCAGCCGTCCAGTCCTAAGATGTGAGGCCAGCAGCCAGGTGTGGCTGGAGTCTTCCCACAGAGACGTCATGAGCTGACGTGACAGAGCGACACCACTGAGGGGGGGTGTCAATTATGAACACCTGCTCAAAGCAGAACTTACTCTTTTCTTCCTTTACTCTTAACACTGGACCTTGCCGCTGCCTGACCGGCTCCAGAATCAAACTCTGTACCAGACCAGAACATCCAGGAACTGGTCCACGGCTTGCGTCTGGGGCGGAGAGCGGACAAGGAGGCAGCCCAGGCCAACAGTCTGGGCGGTCTCACTGGTCCCACCTCCTTGTAGAGACCCAGGGGGGGAACATGTCTGGCCGCTGCCCGCAGAGCACACGAAAGCGTGCCCGTGTTCCACGGCAGGGCTGCGCGCAGGGCAGGAAGACGCGTGCACGTGGGTGCCGGGACGAAGCCTTCGCAGCTGAGCCTGTCATCCAGCTGCCCGCCGCCGTCTGCTGACGGAGAGCGCAGATTCACGGCCACAGGCCTGTCTCAGCCTGCGCCGCAGTCTCGTCCTTTGGCTACCTGCCTCCATGGAAAGTGAACTGGCGTCCCTGGCAGGCGGTGGCCATTTGCTAAACCAGGGCCTGGAGCGGAGAGAAGGAAGCAGGCAGAGCTCACTGAGCTCGCCCTCATCCCCAGCGTCTTCTGTGGAAAAAGACACGGCTGTTTTCTCAACTCTAGGCTCAAAAGGAAACGGGTACTGCATTCCCCACTCACACTTGTGGACTAGACACGACAGCCTTGTTTGCCCTGTAACTTAGGGCTCTGGCCTGGAGTCCAGCAAGAGAGGAAATTTCTGGTTCTGAACATAGCCCGAGAGGAGTTCTGGTTTCTTAAAACCATCTCCCTGTTTGGCAGCCTTGCCAAAGTTCTCCCAAGCCACCCGGTGTGAGCCTGGGCTTTGGTTTTTGCTGCTGCCACCCTGGACGACAAGGTGCCCGAGTGCGGGGTGCCTGCGAGCATGGCCAAGGCCTTGGGGGGAGCTTCCCGCCGAACACCCTCTGCTGGGGGAGGGCCGGTCCTTGCTCAGCCCAGTCCCCCAAACACGGCCGAGAGCCCACTCCTGGCTGGGCGCTGAGGGCCTGCGGGAGACAGCAACGCCCCTCAGCGAGGCTGAGGCCTCCGTGGGAGGGAGATCAAAGCTCCTGATAAAGCCCAGGCATTGACTGTAGGTGGCTTTTTTTTTAAATTAAATTGCTTTGAACTAATTTTATACTTACAAAAACATTGCAAAAAACAGTGGAATTTCCATCTATTCTTCTCCCAGGTTCCCCCAATACTAGTATCTCTCACATGACCATCAGGACAGCGATCACCCCAGGAAACCCATGTGGGACAACGCCGTCAGCCAAACCACAGACCCCACAGGACTCCCGCCCGTTTTTCTGCTAACGTCCTTGGATCCTGATGCCCGCAGGGTCCGATCCAGGACCTCACGCTGCATTTAGTTACTTCCCCTCATCTTCCGCAGTCTGTGCCAGTGCCTCAGTTTCCCTTGTCTTTCATGACCTTGCCACTCTGGGGGGCCACTGGTCAGTTATACAGTCAAATGTTCCTCAGTTTGGGTCTGATGTTTTCTCGTGACTAGAGTGGGGTTGTGCATTTTTTGACAAGAACGTCGTGGGGCTCCCATGAGCAGGACTGGCTGTCGGTGGCACTGACCTTGACCAGCGGTGTCACCGCTCTGCCAGGTACCCCCAGGGCTACGTCACATTTCTCCCTGTGTGGTTCATCTTGGAGGACGGTGGCTTTTAAATGGGAATGTGTGGCTGTCATTCCAAGCTCCGCGTGTCCGCCCAGCTTC